ATAAATTCATTCAAATATGAACTTCATATTGCTTCGAAAGAGCTTGAAATTCGTAATGAGGAGAAGAACATGAGTGTGCGGTCTGCAGAAGTAGCTAACAAGCAGCACCTGGAAGTAGTAAAAAAGATTGCTAAACTTGAAGCAGAGTGTCAGAGGTTACGGGGTCTTGTTAGGAAAAAGTTGCCTGGCCCGGCTGCGTTGGCCCAAATGAAACTTGAAGTTGAGACTTTGGGGCGGGATTATGGAAACTCACGTCTCAGGAGGTCTCCGGTAAAGCCTCCTACTTCACACTTGAGCCAACTTCCTGAATTTTCACTTGATAATACACACAAGTACCAGAAAGAAAATGAGTTACTTACTGAACGTCTATTGACAATGGAAGAAGAAACGAAGATGTTGAAAGAAGCATTGGCAAAGAGCAATAGTGAACTGCTAGCCTCCAGGAGTATGTCTACTAATGCGGCCCATAATTTACAGAATCTAGAAGTTCAACTGCATGCCAATGGTAAACATAAAAGTCCTCCAAAATCCAGTGCTCATGTCCCTATTGAAGGTTGGTATAGTCAAAATGCAAGTAAACCATCAAGCTTGACCTCCACGTCTGAAGGTGGAAATGATGATGATGCAAGTGTTGCTGGATCATGTGCTACAGTGTTGATGCCTGAGCACACTCATTTCAAGAAGGAAAAAAATGTTGATAGTCCACTCAAGTCTGGAAGTGCGAATCACCTGGACCTTATGCATGATTTTCTGGAGATGGAGAAAATAGCATATTCTTCGAATGATTCGAATGCAGCAGTTTCCAGTTCAGATTTATTGGGTAATATGCGAAATGCAATATCTGAAACTGTAAACTATGACACTTCAATAGAAGCCGCAGCCAGCACGGGTTTGCAATCGAAGGATAATCTTGAATTGGAAACACCAGTTTCTTCTAATGAAGTGATAGCACCAATTCCTCATGAGCATGTAGAACCGCTCACCTTTTTGAAGCTTCAATCAAGAATTTCTGTAATTCTTGAGGCAGTGTCCAAGGAAGAGGACATGGAAGTGGTTTTGGAGGACATTAAACGTGTTGTACAGGACATGCATGATACTCTGTATCCCAAGTCATCAAATCGTGTTGGTGAGGCAGCACATTGTTCGGACACTGCATGTGACCACAAGAATGGTGCTGAGGTGACGGAAGAAGAGAATATATCTTCTTCTGGAGATAGTAAACTCAACACTGAGACTCTGCACATCATTAACCAAGATTTAGTGGTAGCCATTTCTCAGATTTATGACTTTGTAATGATTCTTAGTAAAGAGGCTAAGGCTATCCAGGTAACATCTTGTGATGGAGGACTGAATGATAAAGTGGCCATGTTCTCTGCCAAATACAATGAGGTTCCTAACTGTAGGACAAATCTAATGGATTTCGTTCTTGACCTGTCTCTTGTATTAAGCAAAGCAAGTGAGCTCCACTTCAGTGTCCTGGGATATAAAAATTCTGTAGTGGAAACTGGTAGTTCTGATTGTATAGACAAGATTGCTTTACCAGAGAATAAGGGTACTTTAGACTCGTCAGCTGAGAGATATTCAAATGGTTGCACGCAATTTTCTGATTCCACTTCCGACCCTGACATTCTACATGATGCGAATCTTGTTCCAACATCTGAATTGACAGCCTCTTCATGGAAATGCTTGTTGGAGGAGTTTGAACAATTGAAATTGGAGAAGGATAATATGGAAATTGACCTGGTTAGATGTACTGAAAACCTGGAAAACAACAAGTCGCATTTACTGGAAACAAAACAGCTTCTTTCAGAAGTTAATACACAATTAACATCATCTCAAAAGTTGAACAGCTTGGCTGAGACACAGCTCAAATGCATGGCAGAGTCTTACAGATCACTTGAAGCACGGGCAGAGGAGTCCCAAACTGAAGTGAACCTTCTCCAGGGGAAAATAGAAACTCTGAATAATGAGCTGCACGAGGAGAGAAGAAATCATCAATATGCGCTGGCCAGATGCAAAGATCTTCAAGAAGACCTGCAAAGGTTAGTAACACTCATTTTAAGCTCACGTGGACTCCAGCACTGGCCATAGTTTTTGAAGTTGCTCAACAAGCCTTAATTTCAAAGACCCAACTATATGGTCAAAAATGATTTTGTTATACCTTGTCAAGATTTAGCAAACATGCATTTAGGTTGTTCATAGATACCCGAGAGCTGAAGCCTAATAACTGATAAATCAATTTTGTTATGAATCCACTTTTAACTACCAGACATAAAAATATGAAACTGGTGATTCATGCTCTCATAATGGTAACTACACGGTGTGAGTGCAAAGTTGTATTCTGGCAATCAACGAGATCTCTGGTCAATGCAACACTGATTAATCTAAGGATAAAAGTTATTATTATTATTTTTTTTATCGCTACCTACTTTTCTTCAAACTGCACACTCTACCTGTATAATGGTATTTCTCGACCTTCAATAGTTAAGTATATAGCATGTTAGTGTCAAATGTTTGGGATAGTCACTTCATATCGTATCTGCAGTTGGTGAGGCTTTTAGTAGTTGACCAGTTTTTGTCATACTTGAATTAAAAATTTATCGTGTTTTAAGCTGTTCTAACTGTAATTGGTACCGGGTCTTTGTAACAATTGTGTAATAAGTTATTAAATATTGAGATGACTTCATGATGCAACTCAATTAAATTTTATTTCTAATCTTTTCACATGCATTTTTTGTATTTTTCCATATCAGGATTGAGAGTTATTCTGCAGCTGATAATGATGCCAAGACCAACCAGGTGAAACTTGTAAACTATGTTGCATTCTCAGTATTGACTATTCTGCATTCACCACATCTCTACCTTACAAACACATAATAGACATAAATCTCCTTGAAAATTTCAGTTCAACCTGCAATATAACACTTGGGCTATATTTTGATCCTTTCTCTTTTAAATATATTAATTGAATTGAATTGAATCTTTATTACTATTCTTGATCTTAACGATGACAAATTGTAGAGAGATAGAAAACCTAATCTGTCCAGTCATTTGAGAATCACAGTTTGATCCGATTTCTACATTTTAGCAAACTTTCTCCTTCTTAGCTCTTGCTGTAAGTTATTCAAACTGTCATTGCATGACAAGTACCTGGATTCAAGTGTTATTTTCTGCAGTCTCTTAGCCCAGTAATTGTGCCCGTTTGAACTTTTAAGTGCATCTGTCAATTTTGAAGGTTCTTTTGACTAATCAGAGCAAGCTTTATAATTATGAGTTTGTATGTCAGCGACGAGGGCTATTAACATGGTTTAGTCTTATCTTAAATCTCAAATAGGAAATGCGACTTATCTTGGAATTCAAATTACAGGCTGTGAACCGTAGAAGTTTTTTAGGGTAATTAACTTGGTTTTAGTCTTACCTTCTGCTTTTACAAATTTTTGACTGTTGCCATCTTTCGGTGATCCTGTAACCCTGAAGTGGCTATAATTTTTTTAAAATTTTTTATTTTATAATGCATGTAAATAAGTGGTTGTTGGTGGTTTAAATCCTTGTGCTACATTAAGGATGGGTGGTGGAAAATGAGTTGATCCTATAAGTCCTTTTGCCAAGGTTGGGATGATATCTGCTAAGGCTGGCTTATATAAATGGAAAATAAAACTAGTGTAAGTTGGAAATAGTAGTGCAATCATATACATGGAAGAAAAATGGGAGATCCATGGTACCATGTCTCTTTTAGATCATTGTTCAAAGTTGAAAAATTTCTGTATTAGTGAACAAACATGAGTGTTCTTCGAGTGCAATAATCTGCTCGTTTTGAGTCAGTAACATCTTGCATAAACTACTAAGATGAGGAATGTTGCTCATGATGATGTTAGTGAACAAGAAGCCAGTTCTTGGTCTTCTTATATTGTATTAATCTAATTATTTGTTTTCATCATCAACAATAAGGTTCAGGGAAAAAAACTTGCAGAACTAAAGAGTTCTTTTATTTCAGGAGGGGTTGGCAGCCGCAGCAGAGAAGTTAGACGAGTGTCAAGAGACCATATTTCTTCTTGGAAAGCAGTTGAAAGCTTTACGTCCTCAGTCAGAAGCTACAGATTCACCACGCGGATGGAGGTCTCAGAAAGGTGAAGGCTTCAATGACGAAGAACCAACTAAAAGCGGAGTGAATTTACAAGAAATTGATCCAAACGAGGACACTGCCAATTCTATCAATTTGCAGAGAGTAGGCTCGAATTCTTCCCTGGGTTCATGCAGTGCCCCATTTAATCCTTCTGATTCTGAATTCAACAATCTATTGAGATCACCCGGCAGCTCAAAGAATCCAAAACACCAACCTACTCAGTCGGCATCCTCTTCCTTGTCATCGACTCCTGCACTGGAGAAAGATTCCCGTGGCTTTAGCAGATTTTTTTCCTCCAAAGGAAAGAATAGTCACTAGTGCCTGCATTTTATTTCTATAGGTCAGTTAAAAAGTCAAACCTGAAGCAGAAATTGGTTGCACATCTGTAAATAATGATCAAGATCCATTCCAACCTGCCATGTGTGGACCCCATGTGTGGGGTCCACCCCCATATGTGTGCACCTTTACAGACCCTTCAAAAGGGTCTGTGCAGGTAGCACAACTGATTTTGAGAAGGGATTCCAAAGAAATGATCTGGCTACCGTACGAAGGATTAATTGCGCTTTAAGAGTAAATCAGCCTGCAGTAATAGATTTGGGAACCTGTTGCCTACTAGGTCTCTAAGCTTGTTTCGATCCATAGTTCTAAACAAGACTGGACAATACAATACACAAGATTTAAGCATCTCTTCTTTATGGTACACTGTCCAATCCTTTACAGGTTGTCCCTTTGTTTGAGTCAAAATTCATGTACTCAGAAGGTTCAGTTCACAAAGTGGCTTAATATTTGGTCAACTCTAAAGTGGTCCGAAGTGATTACTATAAGATGTAAGATAATTTTTGAGTGACATGATCATTTTTACCGACCTGAAATTGTTTGTTTGCTCAGAACTTCAGATGAACATGCAGTTGCTTTACTTTTTCATGTTACATAAATATTATTATGCTGTAAATATGATATTTTACAAATCATGGATGGATTTTCTTTTGTCACTGAATCCTGAACCACATTATAACTTTTGGTTCTTCAGAACATCCCAAATAGTTAAAATAAACAATATTGAGGATCAAATTGTTGGGTATATTGACCCCAAAACCACAAACAACTGACAAATAGTAAAAGACAATGAAAGAAAATTAATCAAACACTATACCCCAAAACCACAAACAACCGACAAATAGTAAAAGACAATACAAGAAAAATAATCAAACACAAGGATTGTTCACCTAGTTCAGCCAAACACGGCCTAATTTGGGGGGCTTGGAAATAAACCCGTCACTAGCAAGAAACTTTCAAAAGAGAGTGTATAATTAGATTGAGTAAACTAAATCAGACCCACATATGGTCATCGATCCAAAAGGATCTCACAACAACATAAACCCTAGCCTACAGAACTAGACAGGTCCTTGCTAGAACTTAGTACAGATTTATCAGCCACAAACCAGGCCTAAAATACTGCACTGTTCGTTCTATCATCATCAGATAACCACAAGTATTATTACAAAATCCACTAACAATCACTAGATCTAAGAAGAAGAAGAATAGTTGAAGGTATAAGGAAGAGAAAAAAAACTCAAGAGACTCAAAAACCAAAAGACTGAATGAATTGCACAAGAGTCTCGAAGCCTCCACACCAATAATGGTGAAGGACCAAATCTCAGCCGTTGGATGTGATTAACGGTCCACAGTAGGCCAAAAGAAGCACAACTCGTGTGAATGAGTATCAGCCGATGTATCTAAGCAGCCACTTTAACCCAGCCAAGTGCGATTTCCCAGGGTTTGCCATAAACCTACTTAAAAAACTGATTGAATATGCTAAATCTGGTCGTATTGTGATCATTGAAAACATAATAGATCCAATAGCGTTGGCATATGAGATATTTGTCATATCTTTAATTTCAGATTCAGTTTTAGGACATTGGGCAGAAGAGAGACTCATATGGACAGCAATGGGAACATTAACGGACTTTGTTGTTACTTTGTGCAGGTATATTTCTTGTAATATAGTTATCATATTTTCTTGCCTATTTCTCTTTATCACCATCCCTAAAATTTTCTTGACATTCCCTAAGTCCATGTCAAATTCAAACTTTAAGAGATTTTTAAGCCTCATTATCTCAATTTTAATAGGGCTGGCCAGGAGCATATCATCCACATACGGGAGTAGATATGTCTTAATGCCAATTTTAGAGTTATTCTAGTATAAACAATGATCACATTCACTTCTTCTAGAACCAATTTTCAAAACGTATGTGTCAAACCACTATTGTCTTGGACTTTCTTTGAGTCCATACAGGGATTTTTGCAATTTACAAGGGAAGTCAGATTTCCCTTTTTCTTTGAAACTTGTGGTTGACACATATAAGTGTCCTCTTCCAGTTCCTTATGTAAAAAGGCAATTTTGGCGTCTAACTGTTCAAGTTCCCAATCAAATTGATCAATTAGAGCAAGTACTAGTCTTATTGTTTTGTATTTGATTACACGTGAAAAAATTTCATTGTAATCAACCCCCTCTCTTTGAGCGAACCTTTTAGCTACAAGCCTTGCTTTATGCCTCAAAGGATCAGATTGCGAAATCCCTTCTTTCAATTTAAAGATCTACTTACATTGAACCACTCTTTGATTCTTTGGCTTGTTTACAAGTTTCCATGTTTTATTTTCAAGAAGGGATTTCATTTCCTCTTTCATAGCTTCTTTCCAATTTTAGGACTTAGAACTATTCATAGATTCTTCACAAGATAGGGGTTCAACATGTTCTTAAGTTTTCACCAGAGATAAGGGCAAATTCTGTCAGATTATTTATTTCATACCTGGGGTTAGGTTTAATCTGTCTCCTTTTCCTATCTCTCACTAATTGATAATCTTGGGTACTAGCTTCATTTCCTGGGTTATCAGATGCCACATTTTCAGTTTCAGTTTGGGGTGGAATAACTTCACCTTCATCGGTGTTTTCTACATTTTCACTATGTTGTATAGGTCCTGGTTCAGTTATTTCTGATTGACTTAGTCTTGTCAGCTTCACCTCATTTTGGGGCATATCCTTTTCAGTCAGATCTAATTTATCAATTTTATTCTTCAGGGATGGCATCTCAAACTCATTAAATACCACATTTCTATTGTTAATGATCTTTATTCCCTTCATACCAAGTACCTATAGCCTGTACCCTTTAACCATTTCAGGTATCCAAGCATAACACACTTGGTGGCCCTGGGGTCTAATTTTCCGTCAATTCAATGTGCATATGTAGCACATCCAAAGACTACAAGAGATCATTTCTTTGTAATTCTCCCATTAAGTAGTACATACCATTTCTTTTTGGTTCCTTCATAACTACAAGAGATCATTTCATAATTTTCAAAGTATTATTTTTAGATTTGATGTATGTCCCTCATTCTCAAGAATTTCCAATGAAATGAGGTTTCTTTTTAGATTTGGAACATGTCTCACATTCTTAATTTGTTTGAAATTGCCATCATACACTTTGATTGTAATGTCACCAGTTCCAAGAACATTTTGTGAATTATTATAATTCATATATACTTTTCTGGGTTCTATCTCCTTGTAGTTATGAAACCAAGATTTATTTGGACACATGTGAAAAGTACATCTAGAGTCTAGTATCCAGTCAGTGTCTATTTCTTCATTTGTCACAGCTATCGGAAGAAGGCTGTCAAGATCAGAACTCACAGCAACATTGTTTAACTTAATGTTCGCTATGATCTTTCAACTTCTTTAATTCAAAGCAATCTCTTTTAAAGTATGCAAGTTTTCGGGCTTCGATCGAGCCCCATTTCGAGCTACACGGGTCAGCAGGGTTCGAGCCAATATGCCCCAAAGTGGGCTCGGTTCGATTATTTCCAGCCACGAGCGGGATGGCTTGAGTTTTTTTGGGGCCAAATCATGAGTTACCTGAACCAACGAGCCAAATTTACACCCTTACTTACAAATAAACAAGTACTCCTTTCATGGGGATTGCTAATTTTGAGCAATGAAATATCATACTAGATATTTTCTCTCCCCTCAATCTCGTGCATATGGAGAGAAGCATTTATATGTATGTATCATTTCATGTTGTATTATTTATTTATTGCTAAAATGACACACACTTATTAAGGTGTAACTATACTTGCACAAAGTATTTCCAAAACTTATGCTAGTTTTGATAAAAGTTAACAAATAAAACAATATTAGAAAAGTAGAGAATATAAAGGGATAAATTACATCAAATGAAGTCGCAAATAATAAATAACATATGTTTGGACTATCCCTCTTAACAAGGTTGATTTTTTTATGAAATTCCAAGTTTTAGTATATATTATTAAAGTTCATTAAATTCAAACAAGTAATTTCAAGATGTTAAATGGGTTGAGTTGAACTACTCGACTCGTCCAACGTTTAGCTTTATTCGGCCCACCACAAGAGCTAGCCCGTATGTAGGGTGAAGTGAGTGTGAGTTAGATTGCTTCACCAAATATAAGCTTAGCTTGGCTCATCCTGTGAACTCCCTTGGTGAGGCAAGTCGAGACAAACCAAGTCAGGTCGCGGCTTGCCAACTATTTTTAACTGAAAATTATAATTTCACTTCGCAAATTATAATGAAGATATAAAATCTGTAAGAAAATAGTAAATGTAAAAAAATTCTATTTCGTCATAAGAATTATAAAATTGTAAAAACTCTCTTCATTTGTTCAGGCATGAGACCGGATATAATACGTAAACAAAGTTGAAATTGTACAGGATTCAATATTTCGTGTACAATCTATTTTTTTAAAAAAGGTACATTAATAAATCTAAAACTTAATGTACCAAAAAATTTGTGTCTTGTATTCAGTAGTCTGTATCTTGTTAGTCCTTCGAGCACATTTAGAGCCTCAAAATATAGTCTTTCAACCTGTTTCTTTCGTTTGACACAATCTTATACCATCCACATTAAATGCGGTCTTCAATGCTACAGGTAACACCAATTGTATTAATAGATCACGAGTCATCGGAGATAATATAGGACATGTTCTCAATTTGTTCGCCACCATCTGAGAAAATCAATACTATTTGTTCTCTTCTCAATCTAAAACACTAAGAATATGGTATATAGATATCTATCTAACTCTACGGAAATTTCATTTTGTTTGGTACATGTGCTAGTACTAGTACTAGCTAGAAGAAAATGAAAAGATAATGAATTTCCTGCAGTAGTCGTACTTAAATAGTTTCATTTATTGTCAACATTGAATGAAGAAACTATAGAAGGCGATGATGGTGGATCATTATTTCTATTGTATTTGATAGCACATTGTAAATATAAATTGCATAAGGTACGTTTCACATCGTGATGTGTAATGAGGATATTAAAATGTTAAATGCGAAGAACTTTTTTGGATAATATCTTTACAACCTCATAAGTAATGCGGAGTTTTTGTAACAGTAGTTAGACGGAATAACATGGGCAAACACTCCCAATATTTTTGAAATTTCATCTCAAATGATAGCAATTATGTCAATAAAAAATGAAAAATCTTCATATTCACTATGATCTTATAAAACTCAAGAAATACACCAAGTATTTTCAGATCTCACATAGAGAAAAATCGACCAAGAAACTGGACCAAACCAACTATACAGTTCAATCAATTGTTAGGGCTCAGAAATTATCATTGTACCCTTATGTACAATGGTAGAGACACCAAGAATCGACCCAAACCCACAAAAGGAACCCGAACGAAGCTACTTCAACGAGCCATAATGAAAACCCCTTCATTGACTTCACTAACTCCTTTAGAAATGAATCACTAAGATTTATTGTTCACACAGAAAGAATCAATTTCCAAATCACAGAGAACTTGGAAGAAAAACACGAAGAAGATGAAGGAGTAGAGAGGCAGAGAGAAGGACTCGTTCTAGAGAGTTCAAGAGTCACCAGAAAA